TGAAGTAGGGAAAATAATGGCTTGGAGGAAAAGAGAGTTCAGGGATGAACAGGGTCCTGTGAGGAAAAAACCTTACAAAAAATGACAAGATCTGAAATCTCTGCATTTTAAAACATCATCACAACATCAAAACCCAATTCCACTGAGACTTCCATCATTCTGGGATGCCAAACAGCTTTTCCCCATGGCAAGGAAGAAAACTTTCAAGCTTCTGAAGGAGTAGCACCCACCTCCTCCTCCTCTGCAGGAGAAGTCTGGATGAAGGTGTTGGTGGAGGTCAGGAAGGTGAAGGTCCTGACCCAACAACTGCAGGAGCTCTTGGCTTTGGTGGGTCAGCCTAGGATGACTGTGGAGCTCTTATTGCCAGGGAAGCCAAATTTTTGGCAGTTCTAAACCCAAAGGATCATTGCTGTTTTATACAGAACCAAACTTTCAGCATGGCTTTAATGCACACCCCAAAGAAGGGAGAATTTCTGCACCAGAGTAATTGCAGTGTCATCCAAGCAGTGAAGGTGTGCAGGGATCAGAATTCCCTTTTTCAGGGAGGAAAAAAACAAAAAAAAAGGAAAAGTCACCTTGGAAAAACAGGAATATGCTTTCACAATCCAAGCACCTGAGCTCTTGTAGCTCCCACTGTCCCTTTATTGCTTCTGGAGGTCAGTGTGTTATGCAGGTTTTGGTTTTGTTTGGCTTACTAAAAAAACCCCAAAGTGACACACAATGATTTTTGGAGCTGTTAGTACGAAATTCTCCCCTGATCTCTTGTGCAACAGACCCCAGGACCCAGTGATGACTCCTGAGCTGCCAAAGTTTGCTGTGTGTAACAACGTTAAAAATAGGAAAAGTTGGCAAAATGCACCTCCCATCAAAAAAAAAAAAAAAAAAAAGAAACCAACAACCAGAGAGGAGAGAAAAGCTTTTCCCAGCTGTAACATCTGTTCAGTCTAACTGGCTGACAAGTGCTTCTGGTGGAACTTGCTTGCCAGAACTCTCCAAGAGGAGGAGGAGGGACTTGCTGGAGGATGGAAACTCAAGCTGTTTCTCTCCTTCCCTCTCCCACTAAGAGCCCCATCCCATTTACAACCAGCCAAACCCCATCACAGCATCCTGATCCCACGAGGTGACCCCAACACCCAACCCAGTTACCTCTGGGTTGTCACCTGTGGGAGGATAACAGGAGCACATGCTATCCCAGCAAAAGACTCTGGGAAGTGCAAGTCCCTTTCCCACTCATCAGTCTCTGTGTTGTAGACCTGGACAATGCTTGTCACATTGTTCAGGTGCCAGTTGTAACCTCCTACAATGTAAATCTTCTTCTCCAGCAGGCAACAACCAGCCTCAGACTGCCCAGCACGCATGGGGCTCACCGTGGTCCACTGATCTGTTTCAGGCACGTAATACTCCACGGCCAACACGTCAAAGCAACGATCCACGTGGTCCATACGACCTCCCAGGGCATAAATCCTGTTGTTGGCACTGACCATGGCATGTAACACTCTGGGTTCATTCATCGGGGTCTTAAACTCCCACTGATCCGTAACGGGGTCGTAACAGTGCAGAGCTTTTTTGTCCTCTACTGAGATTCCATACCCACCTGAGATGTACAACTTGTCTCCCACCGTGGCCCCGGCGTGACCCCACGTCCTGCGCTTCAGGGAGCACACGTAGGTCCACTCGTTGTCCTTGGGGCAATATTTCTCCACCGAGGCCAAACTCCCCGAGCGGTTCCTCCCGCCCGTGGCGTAGACCATGCCGTGGAGAACGTTGAGCTGGAACTGGATCCTGCTCTCCTGCATGGCCTGGATGCGAAGCCACTGGTTGAGGTGTGGGTCGTAGCGGTAGCAGATGTCCACGGCTCCCTCCCCGCTGCGGTACTGCAGGTGTTGTCCTCCCACAATGTAGACAAAGTTGTCCAGCACGGCCACGCAGGAGTGGCTGCTGCCCACCTCCATCTCTGTCAGCTCCTTGAACTGCCGCACGCTGGAGTCGGGCAGGTAGTACACCTGCCAGAGAACCAGAGTCAGCAAGGTTGGGAGAGACCTCCAAGATCATCAAGTCCAATCCTTAACCTGTCACTGCTCTAACCCCTAAACCCTAATAGAATCATCAAGGTTGGGAGAGACCTCCAAGATCATCAAGTCCAATCCTTAACCTGTCACTGCTCTAACCCCTAAACCCTAATAGAATCATCAAGGTTGGGAGAGACCTCCAAGATCATCAAGTCCAATCCTTAACCTGTCACTGCTCTAACCCCTAAACCCTAATAGAATCATCAAGGTTGGGAGAGACCTCCAAGATCATCCAGTCCAAACCTCAATCTGTCATGACTGGAACTCTTAAACCATAGGATCAGCAAGGTTGGAG